CTAAGCTCTGAGTGAACTGTAGAAATGATTTACCCACATGTATAACTGTCTAAGCTCTGAGTGAACTGTAGAAATGATTTACCCACATGTATAACTGTCTAAGCTCTGAGTGAACTGTAGAAATGATTTACCCACATGTATAACTGTCTAAGCTCTGAGTGAACTGTAGAAAATGATTTACACCCACATGTATAACTGTCTAAGCTCTGAGTGAACTGTAGAAATGATTTACCCACATGTATAACTGTCTAAGCTCTGAGTGAACTGTAGAAATGATTTACCCCACATGTATAACTGTCTAAGCTCTGAGTGAACTGTAGAAATGATTTACCCACATGTATAACTTGTCTAAGCTCTGAGTGAACTGTAGAAATGATTTACCCACATGTATAACTGTCTAAGCTCTGAGTGAACTGTAGAAATGATTTACCCACATGTATAACTGTCTAAGCTCTGAGTGAACTGTAGAAATGATTTACCCACATGTATAACTGTCTAAGCTCTGAGTGAACTGTAGAAATGATTTACCCACATGTATAACTGTCTAAGCTCTGAGTGAACTGTAGAAATGATTTACCCACATGTATAACTGCGACGTATACCTTACTTTAAAGTGACAGACCTATCAACATTTATAACTGAGTTATCAACATTTATAACTGAGTTATCAACATTTATAACTGAGTTATCAACATTTATTTCTGCTCAAATTATACCTTATTTTAAAGTGGCAATCCCACTGACCATTAACAAATTAGTTACAAACATTTATAACTGCTGAAAAGATACCTTCAAAGGTGTAATATGCAGAAATCGCTCCGCCATGGCCTGGTTGCTAAGATTCTAATAGTTTGCCTAATTTCAGTTTTTGTGACAAAACAAGCAGTCATTGTGTAGAGAATCATTGTACCATATAAACCGCTGTGAAATATATTTTCCATAACATAAAATATTGTATTTTCAGCTGGTGTACAAAACCCGAAAGTGGGAGCCGCAAAAACAAAACGTAAGAATGGGAAGCATAGAAGTAGTGCACATAGAACAGTTCTACCACTTCTTAGACTTGCTTTCAATGAGAATGACAAATGTATACCTTTTAAAGAAAGTGGAAACCTACTGACCATTTATTAATGAGTTAGGCCTAGAAATATTTCTATACTGAACAAAAATATAAACACAACATGCAACAGTTCATAGAAGGAAATCTGTCAATTTAAATAAATAAATTAGGCCCTAATCTATGGATTTCACATGACTGGGCAGGGGCGGAGCCATGGGTGGGCCTGGGAGGGCATTGGCCCACCCACTGGGGCGCCAGGCCCAGCCAATCAGAATGAGTTTTTCCCCACAAAAGGGCTTTATTACAGACAGAAATACTCCTCAGCACCCCCATCCCCCTCCTCAGACAATCCCACAGGTGAAGAAGACGGATGTGGAGGTCCTGGGCTGGAGTGGTTACACGTGGTCGGCGGTTGTGAGGCCAGTTGGATGTACTGCCAAATTCTCTAAAATGACGTTGGAGGTGGCTTATGGTAGAGAAATTAACATTCAATTCTCTGGCAACAGCTCTGGTGGACATTCCTGCAGTCACCATGCCAATTACACGCTCCCTCAAAACTTGAGACATCTGTAGCATTGTGTTGTGACAAAACTGCAGATTTTAGAGTGGCCTTTTATTGTCCCCAGCACAAGGTGCACCTGTGTAATGATCATGCTGTTTAATCAGCTTCTTGATATGCCACACCTGTCAGGTGGATGGATTATCTGGGCAAAGGAGAAATGCTCACTAACAGGGATGTAAACAAATTTGTGCACATTTGAGAGAAATAAGGTTTTTGTGCGTATGGAAACTTTCTGGGATATTTTATTTCAGCTCATGAAAAATGGGACCCAATACATGTTGCGTTTATATTTTTGTTCAGTGTACTTATGGTCACTATGGGGATGATGTCATCGATGCACTTATTAATGAAGCCGGTGACTGATGTGGTAAAATGTTATCGGACGAATCCCGAAACATATTCCAGTCTGGGCTAGCAAAGCAGTCCTGTAGTTTAGCATTCGCTTCATCGGACTACTTCCGTATTGAGCGTGCCACTGGAACTTTCTGTTTGAGTTTATGCTTGTAAGCAGGAATCAGAAGGATAGAGTCATGGTCAGATTTGCCAGAGACAGGAGAGCTTTGCATGCGTCTCTGTCTTTGGCGTAAAGGTGATCTAGAGTTTTGTTGCACAGGTGACATGCTGGTAAAAATGAGTTAAAATGGATTTCAGTTTCCCTGTATTAAAATCACCAGCCACTAGGAGCGCCACCTCTGGATGTGCATTGTCTTGTTTGCTTATGGCCCTATACAGGTTGTTGAGTGAGAGCCTTAGTGCCAGCATCGGTTTGTGGTGGTAAATAGCTACAAAATAGGTCCGGGACGATACCAGTATCGCGAATACTCGTTAGTATCGTGACAAGGAAACAAAACACGAAGTGGATTTAACTTCTTTAGGAAAACAGCCCTGATGTTGGAAACAAACATCATTATGTTGTCATCCAGACTCACATTTATTTATATTCCAAGCTATAGCACACACTGTTTTACATACAGCAGGTTTTTAAAGGACCAAAGCCATGGAAAAAATATTGCAATACTGGTATCATCCCGGCCCTACTACGAAACACATATGAAAACTCTCTTGGTAAATAGTCTGCAGCTTATCATGAGGTATTCTCCTAACGTAGGAACTACACTACCGTTCAAAAGCTTGGGGTCACTTAGAAATGTCCTGTAGCTCAGATGGTAGAGCATGGCGCTTGCAACGGCAGGGTTGTGGGTTCGATTCCCACGGGGGGCCAGTATACAAATGTATGCACTCACTAACTGTAAGTCGCTCTGGATAAGAGCGTCTGCTAAATGACTAAAATGTAAATGTTTTCCATGAAAACATACATGAAATGAGTTTGAATAGGAAATATAGCAAAATGAATAGGAAATGTATTCATTAACAAGGTTAGAAATAATGATTTTTAATTGAAATAATAATTGTGTCCTTCAAACTTTGCTTTCGTCAAAGAATCCTCCATTTGCAGCAATTACAGCCTTGCAGACCTTTGGCATTCTAGTTGTCAATTTGTTGAGGTAATCTGAAGAGATTTCACCCCGTGCTTCCTGAAGCACCTCCCACAAATTGGATTGGCTTGATGGGCACTTCTTACGTACCATACGGTCAAGCTGCTCCCACAACAGCTCAACAGGGTTGAGATCCGGTGACTGTGCTGGCCACTCCATTATAGACAGAATACCAGCTTGACTGCTTTTTCCCTAAATAGTTATTGCCTAGTTTTGAGCTGTGCTTTGGGTCATTGTCCTGTTGTAGGAGGAAATTGGCTCCAATCAAGCGCCGTCCACAGGGTATGGCATGGCGTTGCAAAATGGTATGATAGCCTTCCTTCTTTAAGACCCCTTTTACCCTGTACAAATCTCCCACTTTACCACCACCAAAGCACCCCCAGACCATCACATTGCCTCCACCATGCTTGACAGACGGCATCAAGCACTCCTCCAGCATCTTTTCATTTGGTCTGCGTCTCACAAATGTTCTTCTTTGTGATCCAAACACCTCAAACTTCGATTAGTCTGTCCATAACACTTTTTTTCCAATCTTCCTCTGTCCAGTGTCTGTGTTCTTTTGCCCATCTTAATATTTTATTTTATTGGCCAGTCTGAGATATGCCTTTTTCTTTGCAACTCTGCCTAGGTCAGCATCCCGGAGTTGCCTCTTCACTGTTGACGTTGAGACTGGTGTTTTGCGGGTACTATTTAATGAAGCTGCCAGTTGAGGACCTGTGAGGCGTCTGTTTCTCAAACTAGACACTCTAATGTATTTGTTCTCTTGCTCAGTTGTGCACCGGGGCCTCCCACTCCTCTTTCTATTCTGGTTAGAGCCAGTTTGCGCTGTTCTGTGAAGGGAGTACTACACAGCATTGTATGAGATCTTCAGTTTCTTGGCAATTTCTCGCATGGAATAGCCTTCATTTCTCAGAACAAACATGGACTGACAAGAAAGTTATTTGTTTCTGGCCATTTTGAGCCTGTAATCGAACCCACAATTGCTGATGCTCCAGATACTAAACTAGTCTCAAGAAGGCCAATTTTATTGCTTCTTTAATCAGCACAACAGTTTTCAGCTGTGCTAACATAATTGCAAAAGGGTTTTCTAATGATCAATTAGCCATTTAAAATGATAAACTTGGATTAGCAAACACAACGTGCCATTGGAACACAGGACTGATGGTTGCTGATAATGGGCCTCTGTACGCCTATGTAGATATTCCATTAAAATTTTCAAGAACAAGGACATTCCTAAGTGACCCCAAACTTTAACGGTAGTGTATATATATTTTAGTAAATATATTATTTTAAATATATTTTCGAAATATAATTTCCTTTATTCTTTTCCCCTAACCCTACAACCCCTCCCCTAATTGGAGTAAACTAATGGACCACACTACTTAGGCTTCTATTTCCAGTTTATACATACTACATACATTTCACAGACACAGTATATTTTACAATAGTTAAATTGTTTTTAGTCCCAGCGTTCAGCTCCACTCAACCCCTCCCATCTCTGAACACCATCCAGTTTACATTTTTAGCTGCCATATTTTTCCACTGTGCTGTGTTTCACAAAAGTTCTGACCCTTTCTATCCTCATAGTTTCTACAGACTGAACCTTTCTATTCTCATAGTTTCTACAGATTGTAAATTAAAGATAAACACCTTTGCTAAGAGTATTATTATATTATTGATCAATTGACTCTGAATTTTCAAATCACCCAGCAGTGCTATTTGCAGAGTTAGCTCCAAATAAATGTTGAAAATGTCCATCCATTCCTGAACCTGCAACCAAAAAGAAGCTACATATGGGCAGTACCAAAACAAATGATCTAGTGATTCGGTCTCTTTGCAGCAAAATCTGCAGAGCTGGGATGGTTGTATCCCCCATATACAGTATATAACATTCTATTGGTTGCAAGAATTTTGTAAAATCATTTCAATTGAAAAACAGTGTTGAATCCGGCGTCGTTTTGTGTATCAGTTCATAAACCATGTGCCATGGAGTCAGTACATCCAACACCTGTTTGGAGCAGCTGGCATTAAAAAACAATGAAACTGGTTTATTTTTTTATTTATCACAATTATCTTTAGCCAATTTTGGTTTTTAATGCGGCTGACAGACAAGTTCCTTACCTTCTCCCCCTTTCCACTTGTAATGCTGCAATTAGTTGGTTGTAAGTTACCCCTCAGCCCTGGGGGGGGGGGGGGGGGGGGGAGAAGTCAGAGACACCAGAGGGCCATTGGAAAACACTTCATTGTTTAAAAAAATTAAAATAAAACTACAATCATGAAAATAAACAGAGCAGATTGCTTGACAGAGGTGGCCTTGTTGTGAGGCAACGCAATGCAGCGGTCTCCATGGGTGATAACAGTGTGGTTGGCTGGAGGGCAGGGGTCCCTCAGGTCAAGTCCATGGATGGCTCGGTCTGGTTCTGGTCCTGATGCAACCGTCTGAACCTGCAGCTATTCTCACCAGAGCAGCTCAGACAGTCACTTGACCGTAGGAGGGGTGTAGTGGGTCCGGCACCGTTCACTGAACACCTGAGGAAGGAACAGCACAGGAGAGGGTCATTGAAGTGCATATATCTGTGTGTGAGTGTGCTCGAGAGGTCAAACAGGCCATGAAGTGAGAGGTCAGACAGGCCATGAAGTGAGAGGTCAGAGGCCATGAGGTGAGAGGTCAGACAGGCCATGAAGTGAGAGGTCAGAGGCCATGAGGTGAGAGGTCAGACAGGCCATGAAGTGAGAGGTCAGACAGGCCATGAAGTGAGAGGTCAGAGGCCATGAGGTGAGAGGCCATGAGGTGAGAGGTCAAACAGGTCATGAGGTGAGAGGTCAGAGTGATGTTCTTACCTTCAGACTCCTGTCATTAACAACCTCTTCAACATTCAGCTCTGATCGCATGAGTTTTAACTGGAGGAGAAAAGACAAAACACTCATATCACTACAAGAAGTTAACACTGAACACTGCTTCTAATCCAGTCAAATACTGCCACCAACAGAAACCTGGAGACTATGGAGGATTACTGTTAGAAATGCAGCTCTTAGTTAGCAGTTCAACATTAAACAGGCCTCTTTGTTAGGGTTAAACAGGCAGTTTTAGCAACCCTGAACTGGTAGTTTGTTGTACTTGCCCAACACGCCTTTTTCCTCATTGGTGGTACCTACAAATCACCTCACTTGTATCAGCCAATCACAGTTCGCCATTCCCTGTGCGCTTCACTGAACGCCACTGCTGCCGTCAGAGTGAGATCGCGGTCAGAATGGACTGACTGTTTCTCAAGATCTGTATTTGACCTGTGTTTTAGTGCATCGTATTTGACCTGTGTTCTAGAGCATCGTATTTGACCTGTGTTCTAGTGCATCGTATTTGACCTGTGTTCTAGTGCATCGTATTTGACCTGTGTTTTAGTGCATCGTATTTGACCTGTGTTTTAGTGCAAGGTATTTGACATGTGTTTTAGTGCATCGTATTTGACCTGTGTTTTAGTGCATCGTATTTGACCTGTGTTCTAGAGCATCGTATTTGACCTGTGTTTTAGTGCATCGTATTTAACCTGTGTTTTAGTGCATCAAAGTGTAAGTATTGTTATTGCTTCTTTAGGTCAGTACTTCATTGTTGTTAAGGGTTAGTCCTAAGTTATTTACCATGTTTATAACGTTTACAAGGTATTTTCCTTTCCTATGTGCGTCATGCCATTTCTGGCCTGCTAGCCAAGATGTTAGCCAGCCATGCTAGCTCATTTGCGCTGTGTGCCAAATGTCTCGTTTAAGATATATATTATTCTGTTCATACTGTCTGGCTAGGTTTATAGCCATGTTTATGGACATGTATAACCTTTGTGAAGCCTCATGCTACCGTGTACTCAAATCAAATCAAATTTGCCACATGCGCCGAATACAACAGGTGTAGACATTACTGTGAAATGCTTACTTACAGCCATTAACCAACAATGCATTTATTTTTAAATAAAAAAGTAAAATAAAATAAAACAACAAAAATGTGTTGAGAAAAAAAGAGCAAAAGTAAAATAAAATAACAGTAGGGAGGCTATATATACAGGGGGGTACCGGTGCAGAGTCAATGTGCGGGGGCACCGGCTAGTTGAGGGAGTTGAGGTAATATGTACATGTGGGTAGAGTTAAAGTGACTATGCATAAATAATGAACAGAGTAGCAGCAGCGTAAAAAGATGGGGTGGGGGGGCAGTGCAAATAGTCAGGGTAGCCATGATTAGCTGTTCAGGAGTCTTATGGCTTGGGGGTAGAAGCTGTTGAGAAGCCTTTTGGACCTAGACTTGGCACTCCGGTACCGCTTGCCGTGCGGTAGCAGAGAGAACAGTCTATGACTAGGGTGGCTGGAGTCTTTGACAATTTTGAGGGCCTTCCTCTGACACCGCCTGGTATAGAGGTCCTGGATGGCAGGAAGCTTTGCCCCAGTGATGTACTGGGCCGTACGCACTACCCTCTGTAGTGCCAGTCAGGATGCTCTCGATGGTGCAGCTGTATAACTCTTCACGACTGTCTTGGTATGTTTGGACCATGATAGTTCGTTGGTGATGTAGACACCAAGAAACTTGAAGCGCTCAACCTGTTCCACTACAGCCCAGTCGATGAGAATGGGGGCGTGCTCAGTCCTCTTTTTTTTTCCTGTAGTCCACAATCATCTCCTTTGTCTTGGTCACATTGAGGGAGAGGTTGTTATCCTGGCACCACACGGTGCAAACGTAATGATGGTGTTGGAGTCGTTCCTGGCCATGCAGTCATGGGTGAACAGGGAGTACAGCAGGGGACTGAGCACGCACCCCTGAGGGGCCCCCGTGTTGAGGATCAGTGTGGCAGATGTGTTGTTACCTACCCTTTCCACCTGGGGGCGGCCCGTCAGGAAGTCCAGGATCCAGTTGCAGAGGGAGGTGTTTACTCCCAGGGTCCTTAGCTTAGTGATGAGCTTTGAGGGCACTATGGTGTTGAATGCTGAGCTGTAGTTAATGAATAGCATTCTCACGTAGGTGTTCCTCTTGTCCAGGTGGGAAAGGGCAGTGTGGAGTACAATAGAGATTGCATCATCTGTGGATCTGTTGGGGCGGTATGCAAATTGGAGCGGGTCTAGGGTTTCTGTGATAAGGGTGTGGATGTGAGCCATGACCAGCCTTTCAAAGCACTTCATGGCTACAGACGTCAGTGCTACGGGTCAGTAGTCATTTAGGCAGGTTATCTTAGTGTCCTTGGGCACGGGGACTATGGTGGTATGCTTGAAACATGTTGGTATTACAGACTCAGTCAGGGTCATGTTGAAAATGTCAGTGAAGACACTTGCCAGTTGGTCAGCACATGCTCAGAGTACACGTCCTGGTAATCCATCTGGCCCTGCGGCCTTGTGAATGTTGACCTGCTTAAAAGTCTTACTCACATCGGCTACGGAGAGCGTGATCACATAGTCATCTGGAACAGCTGGTGCTCCCATGCATGCTTCAGTGTTGCTTGCCTCGAAGCGAGCATAGAAGTGGTTTAGCTCGTCTGGAAGTCTTGTGTCACTGGGCAGCTCACGGCTGTGCTTCTCTTTGTAGTCTGTAATAGTTTGCAAGCCCTGCCACATCCGACGAGCGTCGGAGCCGGTGTAGTACGATTCAATCTTAGTCCTGTATTGACTCTTTGCCTGTTTGATGTTTCGTCGGAGGGCATAGCGGGATTTCTTATAAGCGTCCGGGTTAGAGTCCCGCTCCTTGAAAGCGGCAGCTCTACCCTTTAGCTCAGTGCGGATGTTGCCTGTAATCATGACTTCTGGTTGGGGTATGTACGTACGGTCACTGTGGGGACGACGTCATCGATGCACTTATTGATGAAGCCAGTGACTGATGTGGTGTACTCCTCAATGCTGTCTGAAGAATCCCGGAACATGTTCCAGTCTGTGCTAGCAAAACAGTCCTGTAGCTTAGCATCTGCGTCATCTGACCACTTTTTTATTAACCGAGTCACTGGTGCTTCCTGCTTTAGTTTTTGCTTATAAGCAGGAATCAGGAGGATAGAGTTATGGTCAGATTTGCCAAATGGAGGGCGAGGGAGAGCTTTGTATGCGTCTCTGTGTGTGGAGTAAAGGTGGTCTAGAGTTTTTTTTCCTCTGGTTGCACATTTAACATGCTGGTAGAAATTAGGTAGAACGGATTTAAGTTTCCCTGCATTAAAGTCCCCGGCCACTAGGAGCGCTGCCTCTGGATGAGCGTTTTCCTGTTTACTTATGGCCTTATACAGCTCGTTGAGTGCAATCTTAATGCCAGCATTAGTTTGTGGTGGTAAATAGACAGCTATGAAAAATATAGATGAAAACTTTCTTGGTAAATAGTGTGGTCTACAGCTTATCATAAGATACTCTACCTCAGGCGAGCAAAAACCTCGAGACTTCCTTAGTATTTGATTTTGTGCACCAGCTGTTGTTTACAAATATACACAGACCGCCACCCCTTGTCTTACCAGAGGCTGCCGTACTATCCTGCCGATGTAGAGTATATCCCGCCAGCTGTATGTTGTCCATGTCGTCGTTCAGCCACGACTTGTGAAACATAAGATATTACAGTTTTTAATATCCCGTTGGTAGGATAACCGTAATCGTAGTTCATCTAATTTATTTTCAAATGATTGAAGATTGGCTAATAGGATTGATGGTAGAGGCAGTTTACTCGCTTGCTGTCGGATCCTTACAAAGCGCCCCAATCTTCATCCACGATATCTCTGTCTCTTTCTCATGCGAATGACGGGGATTTGGGCCTGGTCGGGTGTCTGTAGAATATACTTTGCGTCCGACTCGTTGAAGAACAAATCTTCGTCCAATACGAGGTGAGTAATTGCTGTCCTGATATCCAGAAGCTCTTTTTGGTCATAAGAGACGGTGGCAGAAACATTATGTACATTATAAATTACAAATAACGCGAAAAAACACACATAATAGTACAAATGGTTAGAGGGCTGTAAAATGGCAGCCATCTTCTCCGGCGCCATTCTCAACAACTGTGAGACCTTATATAGACAGGTGTGTGCCTTTACAAATCATGTCCAATCAATTGAATTTACCACAGGTGGACTCCAATCAAGTTGTAGAAACCTCTCAAGGGTGATCAATGGAAACAGGATGCACCTGAGATACATTTAGAATCTCATAGCAAAGTGTCTGAATACTTGTACTTACTACTTGTAAATAAGGTATTTCTGTATTATAACTATTTTATAATGTCCTCCCGAGTGGCGCAGTGGTCTAAGGCACTGCAACGCAGTGCTAGCTGTGCCACTAGAGATCCTGGTTCGAATCCAGGCTCTGTCGTAGCCGGCCGCGACCGGGAGACCCATGGGGCGGCGCACAATTGGCCCAGCGTCGTCCAGGGTAGGGGAGGGAATGGCCGGCAGGGATGTTGGTAGAGCATGGCGTTTGCAACGCCAGGGTTGTGGGTTCGATTCCCACGGGGGGCCAGTATGTAAAAATATATAATGTATGCACTCACTAACTGGATAAGAGCGTCTGCTAAATGACCAAAATGTTATGTAAATGTTTTACATTTGCAAAAATGTCTACAAACCCGTTTTCACTTTGTCATTATGGGGTATTGTGTGTAGATTGCTAAAGATGTTTATTTATTTAATCAATTTTAGAATAAGGCTGTAACGTAAAAATATTTGGAAAAGTCAAGGGGTCTGAACACTTTCCGAATGCACTGTATGTTTTGAATACATTCTAAGGCTGCATGATGAGACTAATGATGATTTGAAAAAAGTCGCATGAGCTCTGCTTTGTTTTTTGCGCAGGCTGTACACACTTCATTAGTCTCTCATTCACAATTTGACAAGCACTTGATAATGCCTCGAATTTCCCGGCGGCATCCCCTTTGTGTGGCCGTAATGCCCCCTAAAAAAATCCATGCCTTTTGCGGCCAGTGGCCGTTGTGCCCTTGGGCTGAATATAATAATTATAATTCCCTTCTCCTGGCTGGGCGCACTTACACGGCTCTCCGTCATGTGATCGGGTCTTTTTCACAGGCTACATGTGAAGACAGATACATCCGGGACCCAACTGCGCGAGTCCTTATCCAATTCCAAGGCGCATATTGAAGATATTGGAAGAACTGTCCACATTCACTTTTCATCAGCCAACAAGATGAGTCGGCCTAATGAACAGAAAAAGCACTATTCTATGTCAATCTACTATCCCCCATAGTACAAAAGTTGACCTAATTCTATTCTGTGAGAGAAATAAATATTCCAAACATAGTTCGTTGTCAGTTGTGGGATGCGATAGATCCCAAATTAATACAACCACTAGCATTAAAAAAATGTATCATGCACCTGTCTCGAAACAGGGGCAGGGGGAAAAATACATGTTATCTATGCACTTAAATAGCGAATGGAGGACGCTTTTCCCCGTGGTTTATTTTCATGCCAGCCAGGTAGGCTATACTCCTGTTGTAAAGCGAAGCAATGTGCTTAATATTAGGAAAGTTTAGAAATAAATATAGTAGGCCTAGCCTATAGAAAGCTGATGGGATCCTCCTCTTTTTAATAGAGGCCATCACTCTGTTTTCTCAGGCAATTGCATAGCCTATAGAAAAATTGCGCAACATTGGTGTGGCGGTAATACGTAACAGCCCTAATCATAGTGTAGTATAGGTAATGTATTACCTTGGTGCAGTGTGGTGTGGATCATAGTGTAGTATAGGTAATGTATTACCTTGGTGCAGTGTGGTGTATATCATAGTGTAGTATAGGTAATGTATTACCTTGGTGCAGTGTGGTGTGGATCATAGTGTAGTATAGATAATGTATTACCTTGGTGCAGTGTGGTGTGGATCATAGTGTAGTATAGGTAATGTATTACCTTGGTGCAGTGTGGTGTGGATCATAGTGTAGTATAGGTAATGTATTACCTTGGTGCAGTGTGGTGTGGATCATAGTGTAGTATAGATAATGTATTACCTTGGTGCAGTGTGGTGTGGATCATAGTGTAGTATAGATAATGTATTACCTTGGTGCAGTGTGGTGTGGATCATAGTGTAGTATAGGTAATGTATTACCTTGGTGCAGTGTGGTGTGGATCATAGTGTAGTATAGATAATGTATTACCTTGGTGCAGTGTGGTGTGGATCATAGTGTAGTATAGATAATGTATTACCTTGGTGCAGTGTGGTGTGGATCATAGCGTAGTATAGATAATGTATTACCTTGGTGCAGTGTGGTGTGGATCATAGTGTAGTATAGATAATGTATTACCTTGGTGCAGTGTGGTGTGGATCATAGTGTAGTATAGATAATGTATTACCTTGGTGCAGTGTGGTGTATATCATAGTGTAGTATAGGTAATGTATTACCTTGGTGCAGTGTGGTGTGGATCATAGTGTAGTATAGGTAATGTATTACCTTGGTGCAGTGTGGTGTGTATCATAGTGTAGTATAGGTAATGTATTACCTTGGTGCAGTGTGGTGTATATCATAGTGTAGTATAGGTAATGTATTACCTTGGTGCAGTGTGGTGTGGATCATAGTGTAGTATAGGTAATGTATTACCTTGGTGCAGTGTGGTGTGGATCATAGTGTAGTATAGGTAATGTATTACCTTGGTGCAGTGTGGTGTATATCATAGTGTAGTATAGGTAATGTATTACCTTGGTGTAGTGTGGTGTGGATCATAGTGTAGTATAGGTAATGTATTACCTTGGTGCAGTGTGGTGTGGATCATAGTGTAGTATAGGTAATGTATTACCTTGGTGCAGTGTGGTGTGGATCATAGTGTAGTATAGATAATGTATTACCTTGGTGCAGTGTGGTGTGGATCATAGTGTAGTATAGGTAATGTATTACCTTGGTGCAGTGTGGTGTATATCATAGTGTAGTATAGGTAATGTATTACCTTGGTGCAGTGTGGTGTGGATCATAGTGTAGTATAGGTAATGTATTACCTTGGTGCAGTGTGGTGTGGATCATAGTGTAGTATAGGTAATGTATTACCTTGGTGCAGTGTGGTGTGGATCATAGTGTAGTATAGGTAATGTATTACCTTGGTGCAGTGTGGTGTGGATCATAGTGTAGTATAGGTAATGTATTACCTTGGTGTGGTGTGGATCATAGTGTAGTATAGGTAATGTATTACCTTGGTGTGGTGTGGTGTGGTGTGGATCATAGTGTAGTATAGGTAATGTATTACCTTGGTGCAGTGTGGTGTGTATCATAGTGTAGTATAGGTAATGTATTACCTTGGTGCAGTGTGGTGTATATCATAGTGTAGTATAGGTAATGTATTACCTTGGTGCAGTGTGGTGTGGATCATAGTGTAGTATAGATAATGTATTACCTTGGTGCAGTGTGGTGTGGATCATAGTGTAGTATAGGTAATGTATTACCTTGGTGCAGTGTGGTGTGGATCATAGTGTAGTATAGGTAATGTATTACCTTGGTGCAGTCTGGTGTGGATCATAGTGTAGTATAGGTAATGTATTACCTTGGTGCAGTGTGGTGTATATCATAGTGTAGTATAGGTAATGTATTACCTTGGTGCAGTGTGGTGTATATCATAGTGTAGTATAGGTAATGTATTACCTTGGTGCAGTGTGGTGTGGATCATAGTGTAGTATAGGTAATGTATTACCTTGGTGCAGTGTGGTGTGGATCATAGTGTAGTATAGGTAATGTATTACCTTGGTGCAGTGTGGTGTATATCATAGTGTAGTATAGGTAATGTATTACCTTGGTGCAGTGTGGTGTATATCATAGTGTAGTATAGGTAATGTATTACCTTGGTGCAGTGTGGTGTGTATCATAGTGTAGTATAGGTAATGTATTACCTTGGTGCAGTGTGGTGTATATCATAGTGTAGTATAGGTAATGTATTACCTTGGTGCAGTGTGGTGTGGATCATAGTGTAGTATAGATAATGTATTACCTTGGTGCAGTGTGGTGTGGATCATAGTGTAGTATAGGTAATGTATTACCTTGGTGCAGTGTGGTGTGGATCATAGTGTAGTATAGGTAATGTATTACCTTGGTGCAGTCTGGTGTGGATCATAGTGTAGTATAGGTAATGTATTACCTTGGTGCAGTGTGGTGTATATCATAGTGTAGTATAGGTAATGTATTACCTTGGTGCAGTGTGGTGTATATCATAGTGTAGTATAGGTAATGTATTACCTTGGTGCAGTGTGGTGTGGATCATAGTGTAGTATAGGTAATGTATTACCTTGGTGCAGTGTGGTGTGGATCATAGTGTAGTATAGGTAATGTATTACCTTGGTCTGTTCCTTCCTGAGTAGTTTGATGGTTGTCATGTTGTCTCCATCCTTGGCCCTCTGCTCTCTCAGCTGGCCCACCACCTCAGAGGTCTGGCCTATACACGTCTTAATGGCTCGGTCTCTGCTCAGGTGGGCCTCCATCAGCTGCAACACCACATCAAACACAACACCACAAACACAACACATACACAACACCACAAACACATACATAACACATACACAACACCACAAACACATACATAACACATACAACACATACACAACACCACAAACAACACATACACAACACCACAAACAACACATACACCACAAACACATACACAACACATACACCACAAACACATACACAACACCACAACACATACACCACAAACACATACACAACACCACAACACATACACCACAAACACAACACATACACCACAAACACAACACATACACCACAAACACAACACATACAAAACACCACAAACACAACACATACACCACAAACACATACACAACACCACAAACACAACACATACACCACAAACACAACACATACAAAACACCACAAACACAAACCATACACAACACCACAAACACAACACATACACCATAAACACATACACAACACCAAACACAACACCACAAACACCACACATACACAACAAACAATACCACAGGATTACTGAGCCAGTCTTTAACCTGGTGATTCCACTTAATTTATAAACGGTTTGAATGTATATACTCAAGCAGGGCCACGGAAAATGTTTTGCGAGTTGGCATTTGCCCTAGCTAGCAGATTGTAATAGGCTAAATGTGATGCTCCAATGTGATTGGCACTGTTCGGCGTAGCATAGAGAATGTGATTGGTACTGTTTGGCGTAGCATAGAGAATGTGATTGGCACTGTTCCGCGTAGCATAGAGAATGTGATTGGCACTGTTCCGCGTAGCATAGAGAATGTGATTGCCACTGTTTGGCGTAGCATAGAGAATGTGATTGGTACTGTTTGGCGTAGCATAGAGAATGTGATTGGTACTGTTTGGCGTAGCATAGAGAATGTGATTGGTACTGTTTGGCGTAGCATAGAGAATGTGATTGGTACTGTTCGGCGTAGCATAGAGAATGTGATTGGTACTGTTCGGCGTAGCATAGAGAATGTGATTGGTACTGTTCGGCGTAGCATAGAGAATGTGATTGGTACTGTTCGGCGTAGCATAGAGAATGTGATTGGTACTGTTTGGCGTAGCATAGAGAATGTGATTGGCACTGTTCGGCGTAGCATAGAGAATGTGATTGGTACTGTTCGGCGTAGCATAGAGAATGTGATTGGTACTGTTCGGCGTAGCATAGAGAATGTGATTGCCACTGTTCGGCGTAGCATAGAGAATGTGATTGGCACTGTTCGGCGTAGCATAGAGAATGTGATTGGTACTGTTCGGCGTAGCATAGAGAATGTGATTGGTACTGTTCGGCGTAGCATAGAGAATGTGATTGGTACTGTTCGGCGTAGCACAGAATGTTCCACCAACCTTAACTTGGCGATACTATCTTCGTTTTCGAATTCAGCCAAACGTACAGTATCTTCTACAATGTCTGTGTCCAGTTGCAGGTTGGTCGTTTGAATTTAGAAAATGCTCTGTTAATAAAATAAATGTTTTTTTGCTCCATGAAGTAATCCAACAATGTGTACGCCACCATTTTGTCAATTTCAAATCTTCTCTCATTGATCGAGACAGGCTGGTCCACCCTGAAGTGGCGCATGTCATGATGACACTCATCTGTCTCGATCAATGAGAGAAGATTTGAAATTGACAAGATGGCGGCGTACACATCGTTGGATTACTTCATGGAGCGAAACAAATATTTATTTTAATAACAGAGCATTTTCTAAATTCAAAACGAACCACCTGCAACTGGACACGGACACTTTAGAAAATACATGTTTGGCCGAATCGAGAACTTAGATAGTATCGCCAAATTAAGGTTGGTCGAACATTCTGTGCTACGCCAAACAGTACCTATCACATTGGAGCATCTCATTAGCCCGTTACAATCTGCTAGCTAGCATTTGCCCCAGCACTTTTCAAATCAGCACTTCTGATTTAACTTAATGAAAATATTTATGCAAAATCATTCAAAGACAATACTGTTTTTTGAGATTGATTTGTCAACTTGCGCATTATTTATTGGAGTGCTGCAGTGTTTGTGTGTGTGTTGACCAATCAGATTCACGGAAATCACAGGTGGCGCGGGCCAGCCACAACGCACCTTGTCTAGCAAAGCGCGCTCTCCACTTACCTCAGGTATTTATTTAGAGATAACACCTTACCTCAGGTATTTATTTAGAGATAACACCTTACCTCAGGTATTTATTTAGAGATAACACCTTACCTCAGGTATTTATTTAGAGATAACACCTTACCTCAGGTATTTATTTAGAGATAACACCTTACCTCAGGTATTTATTTAGAGATAACACCTTACCTCAGGTATTTATTTAGAGATAACACCTTACCTCAGGTATTTATTTAGAGATAACACCTTACCTCAGGTATTTATTTAGAGATAACACCTTACCTCAGGTATTTATTTAGAGATAACACCTTACCTCAGGTATTTATTTAGAGATAACACCTCACTCCCAACAGACACAAGCAACAACTCTACACACAGATGTTGCTGCAGCAGACATACAACAAAATGATGTTTCAGTGTGATCAACTGAAGACAACCACAGCTGCTACGGCCAATGAGCCCTGTCCACTCTGGCCAGGGTAAACCAAGTGGTAACCTTCTGGTTCTGTATTTATATCAGAGGTGGCACCACAGGTCCCAGGCTGGTAACCTTCTGGTTCTGTATTTATATCAGAGGTGGTACCACAGGTCCCAGGCTGGTAACCTTCTGGTTCTGTATTTATATCAGAGGTGGCACCACAGGTCCCAGGCTGGTAACCTTCTGGTTCTGTATTTATATCAGAGGTGGTACCTGACCCTATAGGACATGACAGTGATTTATCCGTTTTAAAAAGGTTTAATATGGTCTATGATGGCACCAGTTTTCTAATCAGGTTACGTGTTTTTTTTACTCCTGGAAAAACTCCTGGCCCTGGGGAGGATGAAAGCCCTGTCAAACTGCAACAACCTTGTACATGTTCATATGAATGATATTTAGAGACTCGACTAACGGGGGTTTCCTCTACCCAGACAACAACTGATCGACAACAGAACTCACATCATGCAGACCTATGGAACTGTATGCCAACAGAACTCACATCATGCAGACCTATGGAACTGTATGCCAACAGAACTCACATCATGCAGACCAATGGAACTGTATGCCAACAGAACTCACATCATGCAGACCAATGGAACTGTATGCCAACAGAACTCACATCATGCAGACCAATGGAACTGTATGCCAACAGAACTCACATCATGCAGACCAATGGAACTGTATGCCAACAGAACTCACATCATGCAGACCAATGGAACTGTATGCCAACAGAACTCACATCATTCAGACCAATGGAACTGTAGGCCTAATACAAATGTTACTCTGTCTATGTCATCACTATTGTGTTGATTGATTCATTCCAGTTAATCATTTTGTATTGAAAAGGTCAAGGCAGCCTAGCCAGCCCAAGATGGAATATAAACCAAATTCTATCACATTTTCTCCTAACACAAACAAATGGACTATAAATACATGACCAATATGTTTACCCTGATGGACAGGGTGTATAGGCTGTATGTTAGTAGCCTACAGCATGTCAGATATCATCACAGGCTACAGCATGTCAGATATCATCACAGGCTACAGCATGTCAGATATCATCACAGGCTACAGCATGTCAGATATCATCACAGGCTACAGCATGTCAGATATCATCACAGGCTACAGCATGTCAGATATCATCACAGGCTACAGCATGTCAGATATCATCACAGGCTACAGCATGTCAGATATCATCACAGGCTACAGCATGTCAGATATCATCACAGGCTACAGCATGTCAGATATCATCACAGGCTACAGCATGTCAGATATCATCACAGGCTACAGCATGTCAGATATCATCACAGGCTACAGCATGTCAGATATCATCATAGGCTACAGCATGTCAGATATCATCACAGGCTACAGCATGTCAGATATCATCACAGGCTACAGCATGTCAGATATCATCACAGGCTACAGCATGTCAGATATCATCACAGGCTACAGCATGTCAGATATCATCACAGGCTACAGCATGTCAGATATCATCACAGGCTACAGCATGTCAGATAGCTAATGATTAGGTTAGCCTAGGCTGCTGCAACATTTATGTAAATACGTTTTGTGTCTGTCGGAAGTGAGGTATTATCACGTTTGCTAAATAAATACCGAAGGAAAATGGAAAGTGCACTTGTGCATGCGTTGTGCCCAGCCCGCATCAGCCCCCAGCTGTGCCCTGGACACCATACTGCTGAGGACTGGAGTAAAGTCATTTTCTTTGATGAATCCCCTTTCCGATTGTTTTTTTGTTTTTTTTTTGGGGGGGGGGGGGGGGGGATCAGCTTAATATTGCAGATAGATTGTATCTTCTATCAATGTAATTGTCAGCATCACTTCCAATCCCCCATGTTTTTTATATATATACTCCCCTTTATTACTTTTCAACCCTAACCCTAACCCTTTCCCTACTTGGGGTAAATTAGTGAACAACAATGCCCAGGCCTCTACTTCCAGCCTATACTTACTATCTACACCTTATGGACACAGTCAATTTTACAATAATTCTATTATTTATATATATATATATATTTGTTTTGCTCCTGAACTACTTCTACTCTCAACCTCTCTGATCATTTTCCTGATGTCCATCCGGTTTGCTTCTATATGCCATATCTTTCTAACTGTGCTCTTTCCCAAAAGCTCCCAACATACAACCTATATACTTATTATGGACACAGTATGCTTTACATTAGTTATCTTGTTGTTATTAGTTGTTGTTAGTTGTTATTAGTCCCATCCTTCAACTCCATTCAACACCTCCCATCTATCTCTTAACACCATCCATATTGGATTTCTATTTGCCATTTATATTTCAACTGTACTGGGATGTTTTACAAAAGTTCTGAACCTTTCTATTCTCATTGCTTCTACAGATTGTGAATTAAAAATAAACATTTTTGCTAAAAGTATTATTATATTATTGATCGATTAACTATGACTTTTCAGCTCACCCAGTAGTGCTTTCTGCAGGGTTAGCTCCAGGTAAATATTGCAATCCTTTAGCCATTCCTGGACCTGTGACCAAAGACAAGCTACAAATGGACAGAACCAAAACAAATGTCTCTTCACAGCAAAATCTGCAGAGCTGGGAAGATTGTATCCCCCATATCAATAACATCCTATTGGTAGCAAGAATTTTATATAATAATTTAAATTGAAAGATTCTAATTTTTGAATTCGGTGTTGTTTTGCGTGTCAGTTCATAAACACTATGCCATGGGATCGGTACGTCAAAGATCTCTTCCCAACTATTTTACAATCTATATGGGACGGCTGTCAATCCTTTGGTCCTTAAGTGAAACTGATATACTTTTTTATTTATCACAGTTTTCCTTAACCAATTATGTTCTTTAATGCAAGGCCGACAGACAAGTTCCTTACTTTCTCCCCCTTCCACTTTCCTCTTCCACTTTTGCGGTAAGGCTGCAATTATTTGGTTGTAATTTTGGGTAGAGCAGACATTTCCATATGTTTTTGTTAGCTGCATGTGCGACATAACTCCACCAGTCCTACCGATGATATCATTTACGAAGACTATACCTTTTTTAAACATTCTGTCAAAAAATAAAGGTTTTTTGTCAATTAGTATATTTGAATTTAACCACAATATTTGTTTCATTATTTGTTCTGTCGTTTCTGGAGGATTAAATTGAAATTGCAACCAACTTTCTATGGCTTGTTTTAGAAATAGTGATATTTGGGCGATGATTTCCTTTTCAAATAACTGAAAGTGAGTTGTTGTAATCTGAATAAAGGGAAAAAGGCCTTTCTTGAACATTGGGTGAGACAATCTTACTAATTTGCTTGAGAACCAGTTCGGATTTAAGTATAACTTTTGTATGACTGAAGCTTTTAGTGATCGGTCTAATGCTTTAACATTTAATAAATTCTGTCCTCCGAATTCATAATCATTATATAAATATGCCCTTTTAATTTTGTCTGGCTTGCCGTTCCAAATAAAATTGAATATTTTTTTCTCATATAATTTAAAAAACTGTTCGCTAGGCGTAGGCAAGACCATAAGCAAATAAGTAAACTGGGATAATACTAAAGAGTTAATCAGGGTGATTTTTCCACAAATTGACAGGTATTTTCCTTTCCATGGTAGTAAGATCTTATCTACAGTGGGGGAAAAAAGTATTTAGTCAGCCACCAATTGTGCAAGTTCTCCCACTTAAAAAGATGAGAGAGGCCTGTCATTTTCATCATAGGTACACGTCAACTATGACAGACAAAATAAAATAAAAAAATCCAGAAAATCACATTGTAGGATTTTTAATGAATTTATTTGCAAATTATGGTGGAAAATAAGTATTTGGTCAATAACAAAAGTTTCTCAATACTTTGTTATATACCCTTTGTTGGCAATGACACAGGTCAAACGTTTTCTGTAAGTCTTCACAAGGTTTTCACACACTGTTGCTGGTATTTTGGCCCATTCCTCCATGCAGATCTCCTCTAGAGCAGTGATGTTTTGGGGCTGTCGCTGGGCAACACAGACTTTCAACTCCCTCCAAAGATTTTCTATGGTGTTGAGATCTGGAGACTGGCTAGGCCACTCCAGGACCTAGAAATGCTTCTTATGAAGCCACTCCTTCGTTGCCCGGGCGGTGTGTTTGGGATCATTGTCATGCTGAAAGACCCAGCCACGTTTCATCTTCAATGCCCTTGCTGATGGAAGGAGGTTTTCACTCAAAATCTCACGATACATGGCCCCATTCATTCTTTCCTTTACACGGATCAGTCGTCCTGGTCCCTTTGCAGAAAAACAGCCCCAAAGCATGATGTTTCCACCCCCATGCTTCACAGTAGGTATGGTGTTCTTTGGATGCAACTCAGCATTCTTTGTCCTCCAAACACGACGAGTTGAGTTTTTACCAAAAAGTTCTATTTTGGTTTCATCTGACCATATGACATTCTCCCAATCCTCTTCTGGATCATCCAAATGCACTCTAGCAAACTTCAGACGGGCCTGGACATGTACTGGCTTAAGCAGGGGGACACGTCTGGCACTGCAGGATTTGAGTCCCTGGCGGAGTAGTGTGTTACTGATGGTAGGCTTTGTTACTTTGGTCCCAGCTCTCTGCAGGTCATTCATTAGGTCCCCCCGTGTGGTTCTGGGATTCTTGTGATCATTTTGACCCCACGGGGTGAGATCTTGCGTGGAGCCCCAGATCGAGGGAGATTATCAGTGGTCTTGTATGTCTTCCATTTCCTAATAATTGCTCCCACAGTTGATTTCTTCAAACCAAGCTGCTTACCTATTGCAGATTCAGTCTCTTCCCAGCCTGGTGCAGGTCTACAATTTTGTTTCTGGTGTCCTTTGACAGCTCTTTAGTCTTGGCCATAGTGGAGTTTGGAGTGTGACTGTTTGAGGTTGTGGACAGGTGTCTTTTATACTGATAAGTTCAAACAGGTGCCATTAATACAGGTAACGAGTGGAGGACAGAGGAGCCTCTTAAAGAAGGAGTTACAGGTCTGTGAGAGCCAGAAATCTTGCTTGTTTGTAGGTGACCAAATACTTATTTTCCACCATAATTTGCAAATAAATTCATAAAAAATCCTACTATGTGATTTTCTGGAATTTATTTTCTCAATTTGTCTGTCATAGTTGACGTGTACCTATGATGAAAATTACAGGCCTCTCTCATCTTTTTAAGTGGGAGAACTTGCACAATTGGTGGCTGACTAAATACTTTTTTTCCCCACTGTATACTGTGTAGAGGAGAGGAGAGGTTAAAGGTATACTGTGTAGAGGAGAGGAGAGGTTAAAGGTATACTGTGTAGAGGAGAGGAGAGGTTAAAGGTATACTGTGTAGAGGAGAGGAGAGGTTAAAGGTATACTGTGTGGAGGAGAGGAGAGGTTAAAGGTATACTGTGTGACTCACAGACTCATAGAGCTGTCTGCATGTCTGGGAGGCGTCCACTCTGCCTGAGAAGGAGACAGTCGGCACGGTGGTGTTGAGAGAATGGACGATACGGTCATCTATGTTACGCATCACCTTCAGAACCTCCTGGGGGTTAGGGAGGGACAGACAGACAGACAGATAGTTACTGACAATACAGAACAGTGCAGATCTTCTGAGAGGCCAACTGAGGCAGAGACACTGTCCATAGACCCAGGGGCGGACTGGCCATCTGGTATTTCGGGCAAATGCCAGATGGGCTGGTCCATCTTTAGCTCAGTTGGCCTGCCTAACTTGTTTTTTTTTTTTGGTGCAAAATTATAATTATCTGGCAAAAAATGTGGGCTTCAAGGAACAAAAATTGCCATTGTGGGGGCCTCAAGATTTAAAAAAATGAGCATGTGTTTTAGAAATGCCAGGGCCGATTTTGGAGCCCAGTCCGCCCCTGCTTAGACCCCAAGCAACAGGTTGTCATGCCCTAATTACATCTGGGGTGTGAAACATCCATTGACCCTAGCTAGCTCAAACACAGTGCTGCGCTCTCTCTTCTTTAAAAGCATGAATTAATGTGTAGAAATCACAGCTAACTGACATAAACAGACATTAGGCTACATATCTAGCTAGCTATGCGTAAATAATAGGGTGTCACCTGACCATTCTGTTATGCACGTTGCACAATCTAACCGACGGCTAAAATAGCAGAGTGCATTCAGCATTCAAAGCAAGTGAAGATGTTGCCTGCCAATCAGACTGTGATAGTGAAGATGTTGCCTGCCAATCAGACTGTGATAGTGAAGATGTTGCCTGCCAATCAGACTGTGATAGTGAAGATGTTGCCTGCCAATCAGACTGTGATAGTGAAGATGTTGCCTGCCAATCAGACTGTGATAGTGAAGATGCTGCCTGCCAATCAGACTGTGATAGTGAAGATGCTGCCTGCCAATCAGACTGTGATAGTGAAGATGTTGCCTGCCAATCAGACTGTGATAGTGAAGATGCTGCCTGCCAATCAGACTGTGATAGTGAAGATGCTGCCTGCCAATCAGACTGTGATAGTGTAGATGTTGCCTGCCAATCAGACTGTGATAGTGAAGATGTTGCCTGCCAATCAGACTGTGATAGTGTAGATGTTGCCTGCCAATCAGACTGTGATAGTGAAGATGTTGCCTGCCAATCAGACTGTGATAGTGAAGATGTTGCCTGCCAATCAGACTGTGATAGTGAAGATGTTGCCTGCCAATCAGACTGTGATACCTGATGTTCATCCATCTGGTTCAGTCAGATTATTCCCATACATTGGTTTGCAAAATTCCCTCTCAAGTTTTAGAAGCCAGAATGTTGAATAAAATGATATTTTCACTTACTTTACGGGTTGTCCGTGTGGTTGGTCCTTTTGCAGGTAGGAATATATCCACAGGAAAGTATAATTACATCAACTTTTCAAAGCGCTGGTAGTGTGTTCAGATTTCTATCACCTGAAGCATGGGAACAACCATGTAAACACGTGCACCAGCTCATCAAGTATGCTTTTCATCTTGTGTTCCTGTTCTTCACCAGCTCATCAAGTATGCCTTTTCATCTTGTGCCCATGCTTCAGGTGATAGAAATCTGAACACACTATCAGCGCTTTGAAAAGTTGATGTAATTATACTTTCCTGTGGATATATTCCTACCTGCAAAAGGACCAACCACACAGACAGGTAAAGTACGTTAAAATATCATTTTCTTCAACATTCTGGCTTGTAGACGTTGTGAATGCAATTCAACGTCGGGTCTTCAGGCTAGGGAAGATGCAGAGTGAATTTGGTGTCATTAGCTGGTTTCCAGCCAATAGGCAACAGATTTTTTATGCGAATATTCAAAGGTCTGCATAAAGAAAATATGCGCATTTTCCCACCAGTGGTGTGTTCCCACCAAACGGACTTCAGTGTGGTGATGACGTAGTGTACACAAAAGGTATTTTTTTGCTGAAGCTTTCATGTACCGAATAAAAATCTAAAGTTCAATGTGTTTCCAACGCATTTTCAACTCTACCGATAGTTTTGTCACAAAAACTGCAGCATTAAAATGGCAAATGTGCCAAATCTGGTCTTGGCACGTGCACTCTAACCCAGTGGTTCCCAACCTTTTTCAGTTACTATACCACCAACTGAATGTTGCTCTGCCCAGAGTACCCCTGAAGTATCCCCTCATGTGCATTTTACCAGTAAGCCTAGGGTCTCATGAGTCTCCTCACGTACCCCGTTAGGGTTGGGTGGTATACCGTGTATACCCACAGGATGGTTTTTCCAATATCATCAAAACGTATTCATTCAATGTGAATATTTGTAGCTACTTAAGTTATTACCTGCAGTCAACTTGTGCCTTAGAAGATAAAGCAGATTGCGTTGTTCTTCAGTACCACTGGTAGGGAACCACTGCTCTAGCCAACAGCAGGCAGATACAGTGTCAGCAGGCTAGTCTACATGATGAGATTATTATGGATATGAGACAGAATATTTGTATTTGTCAAACGGCAGTCAACCATCGATCATCATGTCACCAGATTAAGACACTCCATATTGATTGGAAAGCAGCATCAAGCTCGTCAACGTGCATTTTCACCCCCCTGTGAAGTTCATCATAACTTATTGCATAGTTTCCCAGAGTCCTAGTGGGAGGACCACACACCATATCATCGCATGACTCCAAGTTTACGTCAATGTGATAATGGTTATTATATCAATATTTGTTCATAAATATTAAATTGTACCGAAACTTCCTGTTTCCTTCACAGCTGTTGTGATAAATTTTTTTATATAGTATGACTTTACTCGCATAGAAACTGTGGATGGAACTTGGTTACAGCCATGTCCAAATTCTTCACATTGAACCCAATCCTGAAATGTCCATGCTAGCCCTTGATCATGACTCTCAGTTCCACTACATTACACATAAGAGTCATTGGACAAAGGCGTCTTGTGTAGCGTGGAGTTTGGTTAAGATCCCTGACGCTCAATCTGAACATTAACACGCGTTGCTTGCGGTATCATATTGGAAGCATATGAACCTTATCTTTCATATCAGCAAAAAATACTTTTCAAAAAACAAAAAGGTTAAATTGATACACACCATGTTATGGTTGGTGTTCCCACACGGCCATATCTCCATGTTATGGTTGGTGTTCCCACACGGCCATATCTCCATGTTATGGTTGGTGTTCCCACATGGCCATATCTCCATGTTATGGTTGGTGTTCCCACACGGCCATATCTCCATGTTATGGTTAGTGTTCCCATATCTCCATGTTATGGTTGGTGTTCCCACACGGCCATATCTCCATGTTACGGTTGGTGTTCCCACACGGCCATATCTCCATGTTACGGTTGGTGTTCCCACACGGCCATATCTCCATGTTATGGTTGGTGTTCCCACACGGCCATATCTCCATGTTATGGTTGGTGTTCCCACACGGCCATATCTCCATGTTATGGTTGGTGTTCCCACACGGCCATATCTCCATGTTACGGTTGGTGTTCCCACACGGCCATATCTCCATGTTACGGTTGGTGTTCCCACACAGCCATATCTCCATGTTATGGTTGGTGTTCCCATATCTCCATGTTACGGTTGGTGTTCCCACACGGCCATATCTCCATGTTATGGTTGGTGTTCCCACACGGCCATATCTCCATGTTATGGTTGGTGTTCCCATATCTCCATGTTACGGTTGGTGTTCCCATATCTCCATGTTATGGTTGGTGTTCCCACACGGCCATATCTCCATGTTATGGTTGGTGTTCCCATATCTCCATGTTATGGTTGGTGTTCCCACACGGCCATATCTCCATGTTATGGTTGGTGTTCCCACACGGCCATATCTCCATGTTATGGTTGGTGTTCCCACACGGCCATATCTCCATGTTACGGTTGGTGTTCCCATATCTCCATGTTACGGTTGGTGTTCCCATATCTCCATGTTACGGTTGGTGTTCCCATATCTCCATGTTACGGTTGGTGTTCCCACACGGCCATATCTCCATGTTATGGTTGGTGTTCCCACACGGCCATATCTCCATGTTATGGTTGGTGTTCCCACACGGCCATATCTCCATGTTATGGTTGGTGTTCCCACACGGCAATATCTCCATGTTATGGTTGGTGTTCCCATATCTCCATGTTACGGTTGGTGTTCCCACACGGCCATATCTCCATGTTATGGTTGGTGTTCCAATATCTCCATGTTATGGTTGGTGTTCCCACACGGCCATATCTCCATGTTATGGTTGGTGTTCCCACACGGCCATATCTCCATGTTATGGTTGGTGTTCCCACACGGCCATATCTCCATGTTACGGTTGGTGTTCCCATATCTCCATGTTACGGTTGGTGTTCCCATATCTCCATGTTACGGTTGGTGTTCCCATATCTCCATGTTACGGTTGGTGTTCCCACACGGCCATATCTCCATGTTATGGTTGGTGTTCCCACACGGCCATATCTCCATGTTACGGTTGGTGTTCCCACACGGCCATATCTCCATGTTATGGTTGGTGTTCCCACACGGCCATATCTCCATGTTATGGTTAGTGTTCCCATATCTCCATGTTATGGTTGGTGTTCCCACACGGCCATATCTCCATGTTACGGTTGGTGTTCCCACACGGCCATATCTCCATGTTACGGTTGGTGTTCCCACACGGCCATATCTCCATGTTATGGTTGGTGTTCCCACACGGCCATATCTCCATGTTACGGTCGGTGTTCCCATATCTCCATGTTATGGTTGGTGTTCCCACACGGCCATATCTCCATGTTATGGTTGGTGTTCCCACACGGCCATATCTCCATGTTATGGTTGGTGTTCCCACACGGCCATATCTCCATGTTACGGTTGGTGTTCCCACACGGCCATATCTCCATGTTATGGTTGGTGTTCCCACACGGCCATATCTCCATGTTATGGTTGGTGTTCCCATATCTCCATGTTACGGTTGGTGTTCCCACACGGCCATATCTCCATGTTATGGTTAGTGTTCCCACACGGCCATATCTCCATGTTACGGTTGGTGTTCCCACACGGCCATATCTCCATGTTATGGTTGGTGTTCCCACACGGCCATATCTCCATGTTATGGTTGGTGTTCCCATATCTCCATGTTACGGTTGGTGTTCCCACACGGCCATATCTCCATGTTATGGTTAGTGTTCCCACACGGCCATATCTCCATGTTATGGTTGGTGTTCCCACACGGCCATATCTCCATGTTATGGTTGGTGTTCCCACACGGCCATATCTCCATGTTATGGTTAGTGTTCCCACACGGCCATATCTCCATGTTACGGTTGGTGTTCCCACACGGCCATATCTCCATGTTATGGTTGGTGTTCCCACACGGCCATATCTCCATGTTATGGTTGGTGTTCCCATATCTCCATGTTACGGTTGGTGTTCCCACACGGCCATATCTCCATGTTACGGTTGGTGTTCCCACACGGCCATATCTCCATGTTATGGTTGGTGTTCCCACACGGCCATATCTCCATGTTACGGTTGGTGTTCCCACACGGCCATATCTCCATGTTACGGTTGGTGTTCCCACACGGCCATATCTCCATGTTACGGTTGGTGTTCCCACACGGCCATATCTCCATGTTACGGTTGGTGTTCCCACACG